AAATAATTATGATAATAAGACCGGTAGGAAATAATCTTAAAATAGAGAAAACATGAGACAAGCTTTAAAATTGGAATTATTTCCAAATCACGGTCCAAAAATTTAGAGAAGTCCAAAAATTTTCTAATGCACAATTCGAGGCTTCGAGTGAGGTCCACAGGACAGTAGATATTATGTATGAAACTGTTCATTACACACAGAAAACGGTTATAAACCACTTGCTCTATGACCGCGGACTTCTCGAGTTCCGGTGACCATGTTATGCGGGGTTTGGTTTCAGTGCTTTGGCTTGCGTTCCTCGATCAATTGAACTGGGCGGTCATTTTGTTGCGGCTATGGCGGCCGATATGTTTACCGTGCCTCACACAGTGGGGCGGGTGCTATGTTGCATATGCGGGGTGACTTTGCCGCGGAAGGCCTCCAATATTTGCGTTACTTTATTGCGTTGTCAAGTTGACATCACAGACGGTTTGCAGAAGCTGGCTACTGTGCTGTATTTCCGTGAGTGCGGTCAATTCCTTCAGCCGCCCCGGACTTGGGTGAAGGCGGAGCTCGAGTCGAAGGAGCCGTTCGCATTTTGCATCTAACGGTTGCAGAACATTAACAGGGTCTGGCTGGTGGACGCGGGGCTTGTATGGACCGAGCCTCAATCGTAACGGTTCAAGGTGAGGCTGAAAATTTAGAAAGAGGTCATCAATGGCGCAATCCTGGAGCAAGCTTACGTGGTGGACCAAAGAGTGGAGGATCATATGTGCGAGAAGTGTTCACGCGTGGCGGCGAACCCCGACCAATGGATCGCCTTTGTGCAAGTGAAGCAGAAGGTCAAGCATAAGAGAACCTTCTTTTTTCAAGAGCAGCTTATAATTAAACACGGGTCTGCCGCAGCTGCAGTTAACATCAAGCAGATCCATGACGGGATGGATTTTCACTTTGCAAACAAGTCATGGCTTGAATATTCTAGATTTCTTATCAAACGTTGTTCCTATTAGGAGTACGACAAGCACCTAGTTCCACAAGATTCAAAATCTAATACGTACAACTATAGGTTCACCATGTCCGTGGAGATTTGTCCAGCGTGCAAGGACGGCCTTATATGTTTCCCTGAGAAGGTGGCGGCAAGTCTTGGCAACATTGATCCTTTGGTTCTATGCACGCAGGTCTCAAACAGTTTGTTGCTGCTGGATCCCCAGACTTTGCGGACTGCGTATACAGATGCCAATCAATACTGGAGGACTGGATTTTCATTAGGATTTAGGCCTCTTCTACATGCCAGGCAACTTGTAGAGTACACAATTTTAGATATTGAGATAGATCCAAGTGCGTCCACTCGTGCTGGGAAGTACGTATTGGCAGACGTGCAGGTTGCGAGGAAGTCCGATTCTGGGAAATACAATATCACTTTTGAACGTAGGAGACTTTGCCTTGGGGTTGCAATGTTTATTCAGCTAATACCAATGATCCAGAATTAGAGAAGTATCGCAATTTATCACTTCCAAATGTAGTGCTTGTAAAGAAGAGGTATGAGGAGAAGCGGACGAGGAGACGTGGAAAGCCAAGGCCATGGAAGCTCAAAGCACTAGACATGGAGATCGATCCCAGTGCTATTAGGCAAGACCGGGAGAATGTATCCAATGTTTATGAAAGGATTTTAGAAGAAATCAAAGAGGACCTGGAGATGCACGCTATGATTGCATTGTACGGGGATGTCAACTATAGGCCACAATCTGAAACTGCGGCTATGATAGATGGAGATGGTGACGAGCCTCCATCCGTTCAGCTGGAGGAGTTGTTAGCGGATCTTCGGATTGACTGTAATAACGACGAATCCGAGACGACCGAGGACGAGCAAATGGACGACGCATGAGTCGTACTGTCGCCCACGACCAACCTGGAAAGTCTCTGCACCAATTCAATGATGAATCTGTCAGGTTTCATGCGACTTCAAATGGAGAATGGACATTACATGTGCGATCAATCTTAGAACTTTTATAAAATCTTATCAGCAGCATGGGCTGTTGTTTTTCGTTAGACTTTCGCATGATCACATTCACTTGAACTCGTAAGATTGTGTAGCAGAGTTTAGTCAATGACGTCCTTCGCTGTTGCACTTAAAAGCAAGTGACACTATGTAACGTGAGTGCGTCACCAGCTTTCTTCATAAAATACCCGGATAAAGTGTAGGTAGCTTAGTGTAGAGACCTTTATACCAAGAGTGTAATCCTGTTAGCCTATCGCGTATGCAGCTGGAACTGTTGTACGTGCAGAGTGATACACCATATAATTATGGTCAATTTTGGGATACACCGTGGAATCTTACACGTAGTGTACATAGAATTTACGAGAGAATTGGGTCTATCAAAGGTACAGAGAGTATGAAATTAGGACGTTGTGAACGTTTTAGTATGGTTTATCGTTAGTTCAGTATCATGAAGTGTGGTATTATCGGCATTGTGCACTCACATCAGAGTTCATACTTCTCGAAGTTTGCTGAGGTGGGGAAAACTGCAGCAGCAATCGTAAAACACCTAGTTTTCACCTAAATTAAAATCGCCCCTTCAGGAAGACTTTATTTTGAAAATTTGATGTGGCAATAGTCACTGTTATTCAGCAATTAGTTTTTTCAGCGACCTCTTTTGAGCGGGGTACCGGAATCAGTTGCCGGGGCGAAACCTGGCCTTTCTCAGCCACCAGCCACGATCCTCCTGTTCAGAGACGTTCAAAGATAAATTGCTTGTGGGGTAAAGAATTTGAACAATCCCATGCTTGTGATTTTGCATTGAAACGAATGGAGGTGGAGATTGCACATGATGAGGTAGGAATAGTGAATTGGGGATAAGTTATAACCTTTAGTTAAGTAGAAAATATAGTGAAACCTTACAACCAAAAATTAACAAAAGATTGTTACAATTTTCACAGAAGTTTGATAACAATATCAGAATTATCCACCTTAAAAAGGAAATCATCCATACGTTGGAATATTTTGGTACATAAAAATCACTAGGATTTAATGGATTTCAATTTTAATTCAAAAGAAAATATCATCCGGTATTTGCTTGATTGGAGTTGCAAGCAAAAATCACAATGAATGATAGGGTCTTTCAATTCAGTAGTATGTATTTATGTTTCTTTCAAACGTGTTTTCACATGAATGATTGGCACGTTTTTTCAAAGTGGGAATCTTCGGAGGCAAAGTAATTTAAGTAATACTGGAAAAGAAAAATATAATGGATGTGTATACAGATACTATGAGACGCAAGTATATGCACATGTCATTGAATCTCAAACATTATTTTCATACTTCGAAACATGTTGTCAAAGTGAGAGCTGTTACTTGTTTAGATGTAGCAATTTTATGTGTATTACTATAAGTTCTATTATATAATTGAATTGGTGTTAGTCTAATGTTAATTAATTTACTTACAGATAATTGTGTAGTTGAGAATTGGTATTATAATGAAGACTTGGATTTTTTTCTTAATTGAGCTTACAGTTTTTAATTTTAAAATTCGACTTACGTGGTTCAATACTACACAAGAAATATAGATGCATAATTGGTAGTCTACATGATTTAGTTATTTACTCCATCTTAGAAACATTTTAACGACATATTTGTGATTGTCAAGATCTTAAAAGCTTTGATACCTTTACATGATATTATTGCAAACAATTAGCCATCTTATGTAAAGAGATCCTCTTTGTGATTTAAACTCAATATATAACTTCTATACCATATATTGCCATATGCTTGTTTATTGCTCAAATTGCATGAGAACTATGAAATTTCACAATCCCACATAAATTATAAAACCTTGCATAAATTGTATTTTTTCTATCCACCAAGGTTCTAAATTAAGTGGAATACATTTGTAATTGAAAAAAAAATCTTATTTAAAAGAAATCCTAATCAAAATGAATTCATTATATAAACTAGCTTGAAATTATTAGAAGCCATAGAAATATATATAAATGCAATTTAGACTTTATATATATTATAAAGTATATTTAACTTAAATTTAAATTTAAAATTTCTTTTAACGTTATCATAAGTCTATTTGCTTCTTTATGTTACTTGTACCTAAATAATTTTTACAAAAGGTTGTTTCTAATTTAATGCCATATACAATGGTACCTCATCTAATTAATAACCTTAGTGGATATAAATTTTATAAAACACATGAGTTATTATTATTTATGCAGAGTCCTGAAATGTTATAGTTTGTTGTTGTCTTCTTCTTGCCAACATATCTTCTTCAAACCCCCCCCCCTCCATCCACTACTTACATTAATTTAACCTTGCCTAAGTAATTCTCTTAAACTAATATTCATACACGTATTATAATATAATATTTCACACACTATTCTTGTACCTAAATAATAAAGGCATTGATTTAGTGAAATAGTAGAGGGTAGGCAATGCAACTCTTCACATTAAAAAGAGCATGTGAAATAATCTTATATCAATAGGATTGAATTTACAAGACTTTGAATTTGATGACTTTTGTTTAATTGATAGTCTTGAATAGAGGTTAAAAGATGACTTTTGTCTTTGAGAATATTGAAAACATGTTGCAAATTTTGCCTATTTTTTCCTCTTGTTTTGATTACTGTCTTTAAAGTTTAGTAAAAGCTAGTGACTTAAACACCAACCATCATCACTCTCCATTGTACCCTTGCAGCTTGCAAATGCCATGTTGCAAAGTGACTTTGGTGAGGACACATTTTGTACAATTCCTCAGTAATCAATCTCATTGATCACTTAGCATTTGCTCTCCTTCGTCACCACTTCATCACCACAGGATAGTAAAATAGATGGTTCGTTTTCAGATGTTTTCAGTAGGTTGAAAATCAAGTTTATGCTTGAAATTGTACATTTGTTGCACAGATCGGTATGAAGCATTCCCAAACATAACAGAAAGTTTTAAAGAATCAAAGGTTAAGTCTGATGTAAGGCATACCCAGACTTGGAACTTAAAATATAGAAATCAAACATGGCTATTGAATAAAAATTCAAAAGAAGAAGAAATGCATTATCCAAATAGAATCAAAACAACCAAAAACTTTAAGTTCTTACAGTTCTAACCAGGGTACAAGGATTACCTTTTCAAATAAGACTTGCGGGAGATAAAGTTCAAACTCCTACCTCACAAAAATAAGCAGCAACACAGAGGACACTCGCATGGAAGCTCTAACAGCGCCTGACACTTCAAAATTCACAAAATCGCCACTATACAGGTTGAGCAGTCTCTTGAAATCATTGTTATCTCCGTAATCTTACAGCGCGTTCATCTCTCCCGTCGTCTCCTCGATCAATTCTTTCCCTATCCTTTTTGACGTCCCTGCTTCTATCCCTACTCTCATCATCCCAGTCTCTGAGAGCATTCCTTCTATCATCCCTACGATCCCTTCCATCCCTGTCGGCATCATCCCTTCTGCCTCTTCTATCCAATTCTTTCGGATCTTGGTCTCGACCTCGATCCTCTCGATCGTTGTCTCTTCTTCTGGATCCATCATCTCTTCTTTGCTCCCCTCGATCAGAATCTTTACTTCTGTGCGCGCCATCTCTTCCTCTCCTGTCATCTGGAGGCTTCATTAACTTCTCTTTCTCTCGACCAGTCCTTTCTGGACTAGAACTACGCTTAGTCGAGGCTAAGTTCGATCTCCTGATAGCTTCTTTCATTGACCCATCAAATTGATCATGTTTCGAGCCTGCACCTGAACCTCCTCGACCAGTATTGCCATTTCTCTGTGAAAAGAACCACTTCTCAATTTCAAATACTGGATTTACTTATACAAGAGCCCCATAATACCAAGATGCATAAAAAAGACAAGCTAAATACAAAAAGTAAAAATGACCAAGTAGCTAGAAAAACTATACTTCATTTAGTCAAAATAGGACATAGCTTTTGGTGTTATTTTCTGCTTGTCATCTTGGTACCACATACTCAACTTCCACCTCAGAAGAACAGCCCTACATTTCAAAACAAGAGAAACGTGGTAGCTCTTCGCACATGGCCCTACCAACCTTTAATTCCTGCATCAACAAGAGAAGCACTACATCCAAAGTGGCAGAAAACAAACCTGTTCGTCATGTGCGAATTTACAACCATCCCCACGGTTGCATTCCCCACGTTGAAAAGCATAACATACGCCTCGAGGCTTATCCTCTCTTTCATTCATGCCATCATCGTTCCGTTTTGTTGAAAGCATTTGTATCCTCCTCCCTGCTTCTTTCATAGACCCGTCAAACTGATCATGTTTCCAACTGCCGCCATCTTTCCGACTGCCACCTTCTCCCCAACCAGTGTTCGAATTCCTCTGCAAGAAGAAGCACGTGTCACTTACAGGCACGTAACAGCACCCGGATAAGACGACTATAACTCAACTATACTTCTCTGGAAACATGGGTTATAATAGCAAAAGTGTGCATCGGATTGTTGGGTGTAATAAACCTGCTCATCGTGTGAAAACTTGCAATCATCTCCGCGTTTGCATTCCCCGCGCTGAAAAGCATAGCACACTCCTCGTTCCTCTCGCTTCCGCTGTTTCTCCTCCTCGTCTTCTTCTAGCTTCCTCTTATAGTCACTCACATGATCCACTTTAATGATGCGAGAATCCACTCGAGCTCCATTCAAGTTATCTGCAATCATCCTCCAACATCGTACAAGAATTACAACAACAACAGCAACAAAATAATAATAATAATAAAATCGTTCAGGACCCGAGGGCCCCTTACTATCGGTGTTCACAAAGCACTTCTCAAAAAATGGTGGGTACTTAAACGCACTGCCGAAATCCCATTCGCTGGAACAAAGTGTTGGCAAAACCCTGACATTCATTCGAAGACATAGAATGTTCCCGTTCCCGGAAAAGCCAGGATATGTAACACGCAACGTCTAGGAAAAATAAACGTAAGAGATCACAAATTTACTAACCCACTGCCAGCACAGTGCTCCGCTGATCTTCATACGCTAAGAATGCAAAGCCTTTTGACTTTCCAGTCGCTTTGTCCCTCACAAGGTTCACATCCACAACCTCCCCATACCTGAACAGTATCCCACAGAATACAAGATTATACCACTTGCTTCACATCTTCCCGCAACTAATCCATTTCCACGTACAGGATATAAAATGGCCATCTTCTTTAGTGCTCTGCCACTTAACGCACTCACAAGGCTACAGACACCCTTCGAGATGTAACATCAGTGATGTGCACGACCTTCGATTCTGCGCGATCGCTACCAGAAGACGATGCCAGTACATTCACGTCAATTTCTTTTAACGCCCGAAGGTAATCTACTGCAAAGGCACATGTAACAAACAGGAGCATCGAATAATCAAACCACCCAAATTCTGCACCAGTAAACGCTGTCGAGTACGCTATTTTCAAAAGGTTTGGGACGTACTTCCCAAATGCACAGCCAAGCCGCAGAAACTCCAAATTTCCCAAACTACACCTCACTCAAAACGCGACCTAAACCACATTGTCCTGAACCGAGCAACAACATGGGTCGGAAGAGAACACTCACTGGGCAAAGACCGCGAGAACATCACCCTCGGTGAGACCAAAAGAGAGCCCACCCACGTAGATGTACGCAGAATCCTTGTACTTGGCATGCCAGGATCCCTCGTCGCTTATGCCAATTGCTTGCTCCCTCGCGGTGATCTTCTGCGTGTTCTTCACTTGCGTCAACGGGTTCATGATTCCTTCTCACGCACGCAGCTCTGTTTTGTCAATCTCAGACCCCCCAAACGCAACTACGAGTCTCACCCTCGATCAAAGTCGAGCGCGCAGTGTGTGAAGCAGAAACCCTAATTGCGGAATTAAGTTTCACTGTTGCTAGAGAAACTGAAATAGACAACTTCGAAACCAGTCGCGGGTTCCGGCTCTTCATAGCACGGAAATGGGGGTAACTGGCGGTGTGTCCACACACACACATGCCTGTGTATGTATTCATTTGTATTAATACTAGCGGAAACCCGCACCATTGGCCACAAAAAATATTTTCTAAAAATTTCAATTGGGAACTTCCGAGCTCCAAGTCTAGTGATCTCACACTGCTACTCTCAGCAATGTCCAGCAACATCATGTGGATTTAGTGATCTCACAGTGTTACTCTCAGCAATATCCATCAACATCATGTAGATTTTGATCTCTGATTAATCAAAAGTTGAATTATTGCTTCACTTTTGATGAGATTTGCAACCAATTAGAGATGGTTTTTGTTTTCTCTAGTTTATCCCTTAAGATGTTTTGTATAAGAGATAGTTAAGTGAATATGTTATCATGATTATATTTCTAAATACATAAAACTAAAAAAAAATGAGTTGAAATTCAAGAGTCTAGAATGTTGGTCTCATTTAGAAGCAGTACCATATTAATAATGAATGATGTATATTGAATAGAATAAAAAAAAGGTAACAAGTATATAAAGTTCTTACTTGTTTGTAAAGTTAATAATTTTATTATATACAAGAAATAAGTAACTTCTTCTTTATGCTTCAAATGAGAATTATGACTGGCATACATATGGCAAGTTCAAGGTAAATTGTTAAATAATAATAGTTTTTGAATTGAGTAAAGTAAAATTTTGTGGTTTAATTTTAATTTCTTTTTTTAAAATAGTAGAATTGTCATATTTTTATTAAAATTGAGAAGGTAAACATATACATTGATAAAGAGTGTCATACATTATATTTTTAAATTAATACTCTTTTGGTCAATGATAGCATGATTGCATTGACATATTGCATATTCTAACCTAAAATTTATTTTGTCCTGAAATAAAGTAACTGTATTCAGTTTACAACTAATTATTCATTGTAACTCGTCATTTATTAAAATTGAAAAAACTTGGTTATTATCGATACGTTAATTAACATTGTGCATTTTTCATGAGTTTTACAAAATCAAAAGTTAATAATTATTTAAAACTCTTACAATAATTATGCAAAACTTTACAAAACTTCTTATTAGCAAATGAAAATCATATTCAAAATAAACAAATAAATAAATAAAATATTTTATAAAAGTATGATAAAATATGGTAAATTTTATTTTAATTGTCTTTGCATTTTTTTAATTTTAATTATTATTAAAATTATTAATGACTTTATTTTAAAAAATATATATAACATTTATTTTTTAAAAAATATATAACATTTATTTTTAAAAAAATATATAACATTTATTTTTTAAAAAATATATAACATTTATTTTTTAAAAAATATATAACATTTATTTTTTAAGAATTTATTTGTTTATTAGATATGAATTATTGTGTTACACTTTATACTTACACTTTATACTTAGTAAATGCACCACGTATTCATAAATTTGAGAACTTTATTTCTAGTAATTTTTTCATTCAGCTATGCTCTAAGAATTTATTTTGCATTGCCGTAAAGATGATTCTAATTACATATTTACCAATTTCGAGTTTTCAAGTGCTATTTTGAAATGATGTAGAGTTTGATAATTTTTACCAAAATAAGATGTCGTTTCAATGAAGTTTGTATTTCAAAAAATAAAAATAAAAACATACATATGTGAGTGTGTATATATCTATTGTGTAATAAATAAATATGTATAAATAGTGTATTAAAGTTAAGTTTTTAAAGGATGAGAAACGTCAAATCCTGGTTTTTAATTTGTTTTTTAAAAATTAAATAAAAAATTGATTATTTTCACCAGATTTTTTAAAAATATGTAAAGTTTTAAAGAAGTTGTATTGATAATTATTTAGCAAAAATATTAACTATTATGTGATTATGTACAACATTTATTGCTTGACAAATAGAGATGCATCAATTATGTGAAAATATTTTTAGATGACACAAGCCACCATCTAAATGCAAACAACAAATAATTTGCTTAAAAGAGAGACATGGATACAAAATTGTTGTTTCTAATAAAAATTGAACCAAGCTTGTTAATATTTGTCATGTCTCTATGAATTTAGAAATAATGTCATACCTATCTATATATATATATATATATATATATTTTTGTACTTGTATAAAAGTAATTTGACAATAGAAAAACAATTGTGCAAAAGAGTAAAGAATGTATAAGATTCTGATATAAGTTGAGTGAGACCGAATTGTTAGGCAAATTGTAAGACAAAGTGCTACACTTTGGTTGATAGAATCTCATAAAAAATTTAAAATTTAAATTTAAATTAAATATTTTTTTAAATACATAAAAATTTTTTTATACCAAACCAAATTATACTTTTCTTTAAACCAAAAGCATGAGCCATATGAATGTGCTACATGGAAATCTTATTTGTATATAATATAAATAAGGGTCACATATGTAGAGCTTCCAACAGATGAAAAGAATTACATTGTAATTTTATTTTAAGCTACTTATAAACATAAAAAAATGAAGCAAAAAATTGTATTAGATAATTTAAGAATAAATAAAGTGGTAAAAAATTAATTATAATTTTAATGCAAAAATACTAACTAATGTATATTATTGTGGAACTTCCGATACTTGAAAAATAAAAGTGCACCAATTGTGTTGCCATTGTTGGGTGCTGTCATGAGCCACTATGGAATTGAAAACAATAAAAGATGAACTAGCAAAGCATATATAGATGCAAAATTGTTGTCTCTAAAAGAATAATTAAACTAAAATTAACAATGTATATTATGCTTTCATCACTCTAAAAATTATTCTTGATTTGTAGTAATTCTTTTACTTAAAATAATAAAATAATATAAAATAGTAAATATTAAAAAATATATAATTATAGCAAGCATGCTTTTTTAGAGTCAATTGTTTGGCAATAAAAATAGAAAGCATGCTTTCGTCAAATAACCTTATTACAAACTTTGATCTAAATTTTGGAAAATTCTCAAATACATAAAATTAAACTTATTTATTCAATTTTACTTGAGTTATTTTTGGGCCTAAAGTAGGACTCTTATGAACAACTATATATAAGTTAAGGTAGTATTTTGTACTATATTGAGACACCGTTTAAATTCTTTTTACAATTCTTTTTATTTCTATTGTTTTGTTTTTTGTTTTTTGTTTTTTTTTTAAATTTCATGACTATCTTATCAAGATGCTTCATATTATTTAAAAATAATTTTTATTAAATTTATAAAAATAAAATTATATATATATATATATATATATATATATAGTATTGCTCTTGCCACCACAACCTCCCATCCACTCTATGCAACATTTTATTTAATATCTTTTAAATCAATCAAATTTCATTTGTTTAATAACTTTCAAACTATTTGATTGAATCATTTTTTTATTAAGATAAAAGCTATAAAAATATGTCAAATGAGTGGCGGATTGTGGTGATATTAATAGTATCCTATATGTATGTGTATGTATATATATATATATATATATATATATATATTCACACACAACAATAAGAGAAAAGGAAAGAAAAAAATAAGTTTCAAATCACAACCAAATTCAACTAAGAAATCCTTACGTTCCATACATAACATATATCAGACTCTGAACTTAAAAACCAGACATTACACCAATTTATATTTCGATCATGATATTTCAGCCTACAAACCCCCCCCCCCCCCCCCCCCCTCTCTCTGCATATATGTATTTCTTTTTTTATAAACATTTTATCAGCAGTGATACGACTCCAACACATAGTTTCACATAGAAAGAGAACATGAATCACTAACACGTTAAAAGAAAGAGTTTTTAAAGCCCATTTTGTGGTGCCAAGATGCGAGTTTTGGGTGCTGGGGGAGAGGGACCTGTGTGAAAAGTCCCAGTTTTGCAGATGGGTTTCATCATCCTTCATCGAACAAGGCAAGCCAGATGAAGGAAAAAAATTGTTGGGTCGGAGCAGATTTGCACATCGCTGTCGACAGCATCAAGCGCATCCATGGATAGAAATGGATCATAGCAGCAGCAGCAGCTGTGCCGTTTCATATTCGATGCAAGGGTTTCATGTGGACTTTGAGGATGAGAGGATTAGGGTGAATGGGGGGAAGGCAGAGTTGGGTTGTTCGAATCTTCGAGATTCATTCCTCCAACACCCTCATCCCATCAATTTCACCCTCGGATACGATCACCACCAGGGGGAATACGTAGTTCGGCGTACTTTCGTACAACCACCTTTCAACAAAGCAAACCCATGCGGAAACGCGGGCTAGAATCGAATGCGAGGAAAGGGTTTTCATGGGATCGTGGATTGAAGGAGATGTTGAGGTTTGTTCTACACTCCGATGGGAGCTCTTGTTTTTGATGGGTTTACAGTGGTTTCAACGAAGGTGAAGCGAGTGGAGTCCATCGTTTTTTGCGGTTTGGCCCCTGGATATGAGGTTTGGTCGAGAAGAGGGATATAGACTATGTAGAGATGATGAAGAAGGAGAGATGGCCGGTGATGGAGCAAGAGGCAAGCGATGGATGGATGTCGATAGGAAGGCAGTGAGTTCTGCTGGGTAGGCCGCTAGATTGCCATGGCTATGATGATCAAGGTTTTCGAAGCATCTTCAGATCACTCGCAACAGGTATGTTGTGAATTTTGATATTTGGACATCATGTGATTCGTGGCAGTCTTAGGCGTGTGCAAGTAAATAGGGTTTGTCGTTGCGATCTGGCAGTGTATATACGTGGAGTTTGTGTAGTTGGTTTTGAGTTTGGAGGGAGGAGGTTTAAGTATATATGTGCTTTTTATGTCTTGTTGATACCGTACCCATGGATTTGTTTCACAATGCTGGATTCGTAGTTCTAGTCGAAAGTTGTTCGTGGCTGAAAATTAAGTGGCGGGGCATGTGATAGCTGTTTTTTGGTTCATTTTACGAGGGAAGACTGTTAGCATTTTGAGACCAATCGATCAAAAGCGATTGCTTTGCGATTGCAGCTAGGCTTCTCAAATTATCTGAGAGGGCAACCATGCCAGATTCTTTCGCGGAAGGATGCATCGCGTTGCTGTAGTCTCTAGGGTACTAACTGAGAGCTGAAGCGGGTAAACAAGTGCTGCAGGAGGTTATGGTGCGGGAGTGGGGCTTCTAGTTTGAGCCGTAAGGTGTCATTTAGCTCTGCGGTGAGGATTAACAGTAGCCACCAATTTTCTCGTTGCAGCCTCTTGCCTCTGAGGTGTTTCCAACCTCTCCTCCTAACCACCATTGAAAAAGAAAAAGAAGGAGAAACCTAACATTTACTCACCCACCCACCTCCTCAACCCCTCACACGTAGGGACATACATACATGTTATATTTACATAAATAAACTATATATTGCTTAAACGCCGCTTCGGACAGAGAATGTGATGTGTTCTAGGATGGAAGATTTGAATTGTATGCGCTGCACACCTTCATTTTCTGGGATCATAGGCTCAATTTGAATTTCGTTCGGCAATGTCGTGCAGAATTATCTGGGGAACCATAGTACTGAATCTTCTGTAGCTTGGTTTTAGCTGCTCCGGAAGTTACTCGGGAGCTTCGAGATTCTGGGCTGGAGAATTTGGGTTGACGCCGGAGTTGAAGGACTTGGCACCCGTGGTTTGCTGGAGCATTTCCAAGGTACCAATATTTTTCCGTGCGCGTTGTTCTGATATTGAGTTAAACAAGACATGGTGAATGTACTGCAACGTTTCAGTGTCAAAGTTGAACTACATTATTATGAAGCTGTAGTTGGTCAGGTCGTTCTCGTCCTTTTACGACGACGATTCCTCTCTGCTTGTTCTTGAACTGCAGCGCATTTTCACCGCATCGTGCATATTTTTCTTATTTCATGCCTTTTGAATGTATCGTTGAGGGTGTCACCGTCATTGTCTTAATAGCATCAGGATTACTGTTTCAATCCAGTTGTGCCCGTTAGTAGTTGTATAGATTAGGAAGTTTATTACCAGGAAAGTTTACGAATATCAGGAGCAATAACTGCGATTACTGGTATTTTTTCTTCTGGTATGTTAGGAGGACGACCGGGAACACTTCCTCTGGGCATATTGTTTGCTTCTGTTGGACTGGATTGCAGCTGGGGGTTGTCGAATATTGGATCCGCCACTTTCTTAGTACTCTTCTTTCAGAGCTATTGACAGCGGATGCTGATGTTGAAGTCCCAGTTGTGAAGGAGGAGAATGCAAGTAGAGCATAATTCTTGGAAGATGGTTGACTGGTTCCCCATTCAAATGTTGAGTTCTGAAGTGGCTGCCAAGCTCTAGAACAGGGAAGAGTAGCGCTAGAAAGCGCTGAAGGGTTTATAAATTCGATTACAGCCAGTTTGGTAGTTAAGGTCATTGCATCTTAACCGTTCACCTGCCATTTGTTAACATCCTTACACGCCAGACGTGAGCTCGCAGTTGTGGCGCCTACAACATGGTTGGACTGGAGAGGTGCACGAAAGAAGCGCACATCTGAAGAAATTCAAGTGAGCGTGGTTTCATTTTACGTATCAACAGTCACAAGTCTTTCTGATCAGAATTGGGTTTTATCCGTGGACCTGGCGACGTTAGCGGCCTGCTGGTGTGGTTGCGGACTTTCACAACAATCGAGGTTGTACATGGTCGACACTTAAAGTCCTGTATCATGCAGTGTGGCGTTGTTTTGCAAGCTGTGGTTAGCTCTTAGATTCATTCAACCCAGAGGTTTAGGAGCTGTTACATCAAAATGTTACATATTTTTTTCAAACAACCCGAATGTCTTTCAGAAGTCCACCTCAGGTTTAAAATGAAAGAAATACAGCTACATGAAAGAAGTCTTCAATCTCAGCCTGCCGACCAGGAAATAGTCAAAATCACCAGTCTCATCTTCCACAATTTACCTGCTGTCATACTTTGAACTGAATTCATGCAATGAGAAATCACGAGTGAAAAAGCAGCAGGTGAGGAATGTTTGCACCGAACTTTCGGTCGAATGAGTAGAAATTTGTAGTTGGAATAACTTACGGCCTCTCATTTTCAAGTTAGTGTTTTAGATTATATATGAGAGGACTGAAGCTAGAAAAAATGTTAGCAGGCTGTTTTCTCTTCACAAGCAAAGGTGCAGTTATCACCTGTGCTGATTGAGTTCTCTTGTGACTGTTTCTCTCTACTGATTGTCGCTAGCATCTATCACCACCTACTAGCGTAGCAGTGATGGTTGTTAGGTTGGTAATTGAGAAGCCAGTCGAGCAGTAAATTTGAAAGCAGCCTCCTAGTGCCGCAGTAATTCACGCACATACCAATAATGTGGGTTTAATGTAGAAGTTTCCAACCAAACCGAGGTGCAGATTGTTGTGTTTTCAGGTTTCCTCTATCTACTGTTTCTTACATTACAGCAGAGATAGAGTGAGGATCAAGGTCAAATCAGTTAGGTTGCCTGATTTGGAACCAAGATGGAAGTGTGACTGTGCACTAGAGAAATATTCGATACGAAGTGAAAAAGAAACACGAAAGAGGCTTGCGATAAAGATAACGGACGGAAAGAGAACGCTGAGGCACCGTCACGTTCATGCAAGTGGGGCATACGCAGAGCGAAATGAGAGAGAAGAGAGGGTCTCTAGGCTCACCGAGTCGCATTCGCATTCTTTGGCATCGCACCCTGCTGATCCGTAAACGCACCGCACCCGCTCTCACTTTGTATCGCAGACCCTCGCTTTCGTTCGCATTTTCACGATCATTCGGCTCGTTTCTGGAGACAATCGATACGTATTAGGATATGATGGCTTGTTGTTGTAGAGAGACTCTCATGACACTATGGTAGAGGGAGAAGGGGAAAGGGGATTTTTCTGAGGATTAGGTCCTGGTCTGGAGTAACTTGCAGGAGAGGAAACAGACAAGGCCTTGCGTCGTCCGGAAGAAAGCATTCGCCAGGATGGTGGAGCACTTCTTGTGGAGGGAGTGTGGCGAGTTACAGAGCATTTTGCTTACTCGACATGAACTCCACAGGGAGGTTTTGTTTTAAGTTGGTTCGGCGTTTTTTTTTGCGACTCGGTTTACGGCTGGAAGGGAGGGAGGGAGGGAGGGAGGCTGAATAGTTGCATTCGCTCTGTGGTGGTAGGTTGTGATGGGGAGGATGGCGAGGTTGTGAGTTATGGTCTCTTTGAATGATTCTTCCGAGGTTGCGCCTGTTGCTGTGATTGAGCACCTCATTCGCATCGCTGCTATCCTGTGAAGGAACTGAGGACGAGGAGACACGAGAGAGGACGGGAGTCGGGAAGTGGAGGGGTTCTGTGAAAGTAGTGTAATTACTGTGTTTGCCGACACATTGATAAGTTCCTTTCCTGTTTCGTCAAAATTCGTATCTGCCCTCCGGCGTCTATCTTTGAACTTCAATTTTCAACGATGTTTCATGGAAGGCTTCAATTGACAGATGAGAGAGTTGAACATCTGTAGTTAAGTTTGTCTTAGGTTTTGCCGTCGGCGCTAGTATCCAAAGCATAAGTCGATTGGCTTTGCAGTTCACCGAAGTCCAGATCTTATCGCTTGTTTCTGATCCCTCTATTTCCTTTGTGGTTTTGAGCCTTCCACTAAGGCGTAGTCGGGAGTTCGCTGAATCGAGTGAGAAGATTGTGAGAAAGATCAACGGAGAGTTTTAGGTCGTACAGGTTCTGTAATTACACTTGATTCGGTTCCTGATTGCCTATCTTGACTGTCAAGGTTGACTTCCCGCAAGTTGTTTACTCTCACACACGTCCCTTGTGACATTTCAAGCACTTGATTTGAATTTTCGACATTAGATCCCATGCCTGTTTCGAGATGCAAAATTGCCTTAAACACCTCCTGCGATCAGCACCATAACAGATAAAGTTAGGTTTTAGACACGGGAGTTACTTACAATGAGAAGCTGAAGATGCCAAGTCATGCCTAATGCGTCCGCTCAAATCCTGAAAGAACTATGGATTGTTCACTTTCAGTTTTTTCAGATGAACCTTAGGCTTACACGCCTGTAGTCAGTTTTCTGAATGATAAGAGGCTAGCATCGTGGCTGGTAGAACTTGGTAACATTATCGATGCATTGCGGTAATAAACAGTGTCAGCTACTGTAGATCTAATAGGCAAATAGTCTTGGTGCTCGTTTGCGTATATGGTTGTAATTCGTGCACGCGTACACAGAATGACGACCAAGAAGATGTACAGATATACGAAAGATACTTTGTTGGCTTTTGCCACACTACCCAGCTGCCAGACTCGTCCGGATGGAATAGATCCTGTTTTATGGAGGTATGATGTCATGACCATGCATTTCAAATTTCTGTGCGGAAGTGAACAGTTCGAACGGCAATCAAATCGTGCAGTAGTCGCCTATTCTTTGTTTTGTGTAATATTTGCTCCCTTACTAGTCTAATTAAGGTCAAGTTTATTTGTCTGTCTAGTGCTGTATATTTCTTAAAATCTTAGCAACAGACCGAAATTGACGTGTGTTGTGGAGGCAGCCGTTCTGGAACATGATGGATTTGGTCTGTATGACACGATTCTTTGATATCTTTGAGACTCCATCAATGATATGAAATTTGCTCTTGTATGCAGTGTTTCGATCAATTCCGACGTGGTGGAGGGGAACATTGCAATTCCGGTGGTGCCATCTGCCCGAGGTCTCGTACGTAGGGATTGGTGAGAATCTTTACAAAAGTCAATGTCGAGTTAGAATTACAAATCCGAAGGATTACGTAACTTAGTGAAATTTTTTTTAGCTGTGATCAGCACAAGCGTTCACTCAAGATTTTGTGGGAGGATCTTTGCAGCGCACAGTTAGTTGCTGATGTAGGTCTCGGGTGCCTGCACTTTGAACGATAGACATCTGGCCTGGCAGTAACTTTAATAATCGTCAATTTTAGGGTTTTTGGTTGCAGTATGTGATTACTCATAATTTCGAGAAAGCATATTCACCTATGGGTTGAATTGAGAGGTTTTTAATAGGTCGATTTCCAGAGATATTTGACATAGTTTTGTGGGTGACCTAAGGGATGGTTGTGATTGGGTCAGGGGAATAGGGCTCATCACCAGTTGTTTGCGGAACCCTCAAAGGGGACTGACGTAACCCATTTAGATCGATGGAGATGTTGTTGCAAAGAAAGATCAGCCAAGATATTGAGCACCATCAATGAACCAAAAGGAATTTGGCTCTTACTTTGCCATTTTTATAATAATCTTATAGAAAATCCTGTCAATGTGAACAACAGTTTGGATATTGCGAGCATCCCTGATGCTGAACTTTGCGTGGTGATGTTGGACAGTGACTTAGCTTACAGTAAATCACCGGTTGATGACCTTCCGGAATGGAGGAGACCTAATGGTGGAGGTGCCATTCTACAGTCAGGCCCCCGCCGCAAACCTTATGAAGAAGAACCTCTGGGCAATGCCTTTTCCAGCAGCTACCCGCCTCGACCTTCTGGTCCTTGGGTTGAACATAATGGTCCTCCAAGGCCACCACACGATCGGCTTGGTCCTAACGGCCCTCCAGGTAGATGGGATCGCAATGGAGATAAAGACCGTGAGCGAGGGCGTCATGGTCAAGAATGGGATGCCGACGAAGGAGGTAGCGGGTGTTTTCATTTTTCTGCTGCTATCTATGTATACACATCTTAATCATGTATTTAAATACAGCAGATCATGTGTGTGTCTATTTTTGAATTTGGTGCAGGTTCGGGAGGGAAAGGAGATGCAAGTCCGCGCCCCTGGGTTGAACGTGATGGCCTACTAGGAAGTGGGAATCGACCGCCCCCTCAAGCGCACACCCGCGTGGGCCGACCAGCTGATAATTACCAGCCTTCTCGCCCTCGTGTTAAGGTAGGTGCTCTTGCGGTACACTCATTTGGTGTAACTGAAGCATGCAATGTCTATTGGTATGGTTTGTGTGGCTTGTTTGTATTCTTGTGATCGACACTTGGTTAGCGTGTACGTTGAAGTCATAGTTTGCTCTTGGCTACATCTCAGTAATGCCTGGCCAGTTCTTGGTTGATTGTGCTTTCTGGTCGCTAACTTAAGGCCTTATTATTTTGCAGACCTGGATGATTTCTAGTGACAAGAAAGTAAACATTTTGGTTGTAATTGCGGACTTCATTGTTGTCGGATTTACTTATTTTCTGCTGTTTTTGTGGATTGTTTACTGCAGGCGCCAGTGTATGGACGTCGCGAAGATACTGACATTGTGAATGATGAAACGTTTGGGTTTTTAGAATCTTCTCACGATGATAGATCCGATCAGGAACGTAAGCGTCGTGGTGAGTATAGATTGTTGGTAAATTTTACATTGTTTTGGTTTGCAGTTCCGCAACCATTTTGGTTAGTTGTTCCGATCATCATGTAATTGCAGTGTTATTCCACTTGTGATTCAGGCATGAGAATTTTCAATCAATTTTTATTTCTTTTCTGCCGTAGATGTAGTTGTTTTGCTGTTTGTGCCAACCTTTGAATTGTCCGAGACGTTCTACATTCATTGGTTGCGCACTTGATGTGTAGCCTGTGAAGTCTAGACTCGTGAGATATGCATACTGTGAAACCTAACATGCTTCCCGCCCTTTTATCTATTTTGATGCTGAACTGATTGTTTAACCATATACCAGATCTGATTCAGCAAGAGAAATGCTGTGTGCAGAGGCTTTCGAATTGATGCGTAAAGAGCAGCACAGGCATGTGCAAGAACAAAAACAATCCTTGACAAAGTCAGGAAAATCGGCTGTAAATCTGAAACATGATGAGAATAGTCTTTGGGATAACCCCTCTCATCAGTCTCCTCCTCTCTCACCTGTTCCCAAGACTGCTATAACTCCTGTTCCAACCCCTCCTCGCCCTGCTGTTCCGCCTGGTTTTTCAAATGTGCTCCAGCAGCGGCTAAATTCAAATCAAACACCCCTACAGCAGGTACTAATCTTTGCAGTTGAGTACATGTTTCGATTCAATATCTGGTGGTTACATGTTACCTAGAACAATGTGGTGAACAGATTTTTAGTTGATGTAAACTTTTGGCTTACAATTATTTGATCATTCAATTTGCTGTGTAGAACGATGCACAAGGTAATCATGGTCGTCATTCAAAGGATGATTCGGTTAAGGACCAGAACTTATTGGATCCTGATAAGACAGGTGATCCTTCAGCTCGTTCGAGTAGTAGCATAGCTGACATCAAAGAAATCAAGATTGCAACTCCAGTTGCCAAAATGAATGTAGACTCGGATGTTGAAACGAAAGTTGTAGTTACTGAAGCTACAAAGGATAATACCAGAAATGATTCTCTTTCCTCTGAAGGAAGCCTCGAAAGGAAGAGATCAGCAGGGCTGCCAGATATGTGGAGTTTTAATCTGGAGGGCCAGGACCTAGATTCAGTTAGTGATATTCTATCCACCGAAGATGCATCCAGTATCCGAAAAGAGTCATTGCTTGACAAGCTATTTGGAAACGCCGCACCAACAACCATTGATGATTTTGCCCTTCCCTCTGATCTATCTAAGAATGAGGTATCTACATTTTGCGTGACATTCCTTATGCTGTACTTATTAGGGTTTCTAGTTAGAGAGTATTTTGGTTTTGTTTTTTCTTTTCGACCAATTATCTTGTTTTTAGGCTGGAGACATGTGGAAATGCACAGTTTTGTCTTTGTTGTAAAGTATAACGTCTCGTTTTAAGTATAATGTGTAATCGTGCGTAATGTGTCCTGAGCGGTAGATCGCACCTTGAATTTTTAAACAGCCACTTTTTAATCGAAGTATTTGGATCCTGATGTATTCCTATAACGTGCCAGCCCCTTATCCCAGCTTCAGATGAAGAGAATTGGTCAGGAAGCCTTTCAAAAGCATCTAAATTCGCTCACTGGTTTCATGCGGAAGGTATGGCCGCTTAATTTTCCTTTGTTCCGCTCATAGCAAGCCAAAGATGCACCCTCTATCTATTCTGTTGTCAGTCATTTTTGTGTTGGGACTAATCAACTAAGCAATTTATTGTGTTATCTTTTCAATCTTACTTGTCTACTCTTTCGACTTTAATACTGCTTGGGGTAAACTTCGTATGGTATTTTTACAAACGTCAATGGGAGATTGCAGAAGATAAGTTTACAACAAGTCAAACAAGCAGCTCCAAAAATCTCATGTCTTTGTTTGGAAGTAGCGAGCATACTAAGAACTCTGCTCCGTTGGAGAAAGACATCCAAAGTATTGGTGGACTTGGCTCCTTCATGATGTCTGGATTCAATGTACTTCCTATGCCTGTGGGTCCATCCTTGGAGGGCATTGAGAAAGGTTTGGCAAACATGGTGAAAGTCCCTAATCCCAATAACCACACTGTTACCAATAACAGTTTTACAGAAAACTCAATTGCACAGCATAAACAGGTTCCCAATACGCCTCCGGTGTTCATGACTTGTGAGGACATCGAGCAGGCATTGCTGGCTGAAGCTGCTGGGAGTGGCCCTCAGCTTGAGACAAATACACCCCTCTCACTGGCAGAAGAAGAGACCCCACCCAAGAGTGCTGCAAGTGCTTCTCAACACCTTCTTTCACTTATTCTCAAGAAACCTCCTACTTTAGAAGCAGGGCTGCCTAGTAAGGTCATGGATATGGAGGATACAAGTGCAAAGCCGAGCGTTGAACAGGCATGGAAGAAATCAGATCCTAGCAACAACCAAATCAATGAAGTTCATACATTGGCGTCGCTATTCGGCAAAGCGTTTTTGAATGAGTTGCAAACGCCCGAAGCAGCAGCACCAGTTAGGATGTTTTTAGACGATGGTCTCGCAATTCAGGAGAGTGAGCTGGAAAAGGCTTCCTTTCCGATGCATAATGGAGAATTCAACACCAAAACAAGGTCAAATGGTATGGGTGGTCCTCGAGATTGGTTTGCAAGCTCTGGACCCGGATGGAACAGCATGTGGCCAGACAGCAACGATGTGGAAGCTGGCGGTCATGTGAAGGCCGGTCATGCCTTGAAAGAATCACACTTGAATCGCACTACACATGAAGACTTTGAAGATAGGACCGCTAGTGCACCTTCTATCCCTGGATTATGGAGGAAACCTGACGCTACCAACGATCACAACAATGTGTTCATGGATAATTTGAACGGAGCAACTCCCAATTTTGGAGGTACTACTTTGCAGACCCATGACGAAGTGGTTACGATTAATAGAACTTTGCCAGCTGCATCAATGCAACACTTGGGCTCATCCCTTGGGCAACCTAACCAGCAACGAGCACAGCTTGGTAGCGCTAATGTCAGCTTTCCTCATCCCTCCTTTCGACAACAAGCGCATGGTCCGTTGTTCAATAGCAATGGATTGGATGGGGGATTTGATGGATTTTCAGCTCCACATATCATACAACCACCGTCGCACAGTTTCCCTGGCTCCATTTCGCATCCTCCAACTCATATAATGGGCCAGCCTCAGATGCTTCAGCGCCCCCAATTACATCATTATGGAATGGTAGTGCAAGAGCAGGAAAGTTTTAAACCACAGCTTTCTGCAGGAACAGGCTCTGTTTTGGTACCAGCTGGTCAGCACATGCATGAGCAGCAACGTCTGTCTAACCCAGTGCCTTCGGGGGGACTTTTAGGCCCCTTTCAGCCAGAATTTCAGATGATGAACAGCAAAAGCACTACTCCGGGCGGCTATGGTGGCGATGGAGGCGTTGAAAGATGGTTTGGGGTTGATGGACGTCGATCAGCTCATTTGGGACCAATGAATATGTTTCCACAGGCTCCGCTGGGAGTGGAAGGTGATATGCTGCGGTATTGATAGGTACACCACTTCTTGCACTGTCTTCCGAGGACGAGGTTTACGTGGATGGTCCAGCGTTGCCTTTTTCGAAACGTGCATGTTCTGATAAGTCAAGTACTGAAGCCTTTCAGCAGTGAAAAGAATTTGCAACCAATCATGTTGTTAGAAGTATTATGTCCTACTTTTTGTGGTTTGAAACCAGCTTGCAGTCTTTGCACGGGTGTCTCAATGTGTAGTGCAAAGCCGTTTAATCAGTTTCTCAGACTGGTATAACTTCATATAATTTTTGGAGGGCCCTGTCGTACTGGCATGGAGCCATCTAAGCGCGTTCTGGCGATATGAAGTCATCTAGTTCGTTGACTTGAATAGAAGTCTATGCACAAGTATTATGTAGAATGTGTCTGCTCTTGAAAAGCTACCTGTTGTATTCCTTTGCTGATGAAGAAGGGACTTCGAATAACAAGTATCAAATTGTGCTTTCTGTATTTTTGTGTTTTGTCTTGTTTTGTCTTTTTTTCCTCCCTCTAATTCTTAAAATAATGTATACATATCCTTGATGTCCATGTTTATTGTTTTCGTTTTTTGGTATTTTGGTTCGGTTTCTTTGTTCTGTAATCGCTAGCATGGATCTTTAGTTTTCTTAACAGCAGAGCTTGATCTTTGCTTGAGTAGTGGGTATTTACTCCACCTTTTTCTTCGGAACTCGGTTGATTCAATAAATTAGTATGTGACTGGTTTTTCACGACCTGGTGGATGGTCTACCCTACTCTTCCTCGTATTTTCTGTTTGTTGATAAGCACCTACAGTGCTTCTTTGATGTTACTTCATACCAATGCGACTAATCATTGTTGTAAGTTTTCTTAATAGTTTATATTAGCATGCAATAAATCCAATATATAAAATATTAATACTTTCTTTTTATTTCCCTTGAAAAAAACCAAAAGGATCCTCATACAATGGGCCAGCCTCAGCTTGAAATGGTAATAACGTCATGTACAGACTCCGTGAGTTATCTCACCTCTTTATCCACAGTAGAAGTTTCATCTCTATCGGTTTGTTTGATTTCTTCACGAGGTTCATAGCATTCCTACTTGTAAAGGTACATTCGCCGATGCTTCCCATCTGTCGCAATTCATATCTTTCAACCCTGGAAAATACATCACATGAATGAGATCAGTGAACTGAGACCTGAATTGGGCGTAACAAATAAACGACGCTAACAGTTACACACCTGCAGTGTTAGCCAAAGTAACATCTTGATATATGGTTTTATGCAGCTGTTTACCGTGGTCGTGCGGACCTCTATCAATAATTTTGTGTCAATTTGCCGATTGATCGGTGCACGAGGGAAGATTTACTGTCACAATAGCTAGATGGTTCGAGCATACCTTACATAATTTCGCTGTAAAAAGAGATTTGTAAGAATTAGTTTAGTCAGCTGTCGACTAGCCAGGGTAATTGGCTATGTAGATTATAAAAAAGGTCTCAATAATTTCTTCCTCAATGTGGGGTTGTGGGGATTTGCTCACCACACAAGTCGTGGAGGTGCACTGGTGCGTACCTTCTGAAGCTGTTGGTTCCAGAGGAGGTTTGCGAAAATGGCCTTGTGCAGAGTGTGTGCAAGTTTGTATCAGAACACGAAGAACAACAGAGTGTGTGCTTGTTTACATCAGAGAACGAAGAAATGATACGGTTCATGGAGTGCGTTTTGAGTGTTGAGGGAAGTTTTGAAATACTTCACAAGACCAACTGCTGCTTCTTTTTATCTTCCGTGTTCGGGGTCTCTCATCGGGTTTCTTAACATCGAACACATGTAGTAACAGTAGCAAAAATGGTCACGAATTATTTTTGTTGGTCAAGTTCACCGACGATTACACTCCAATGCAAAATATCTCCACGGCTGGTGCATTGAGCCACACCCCACAATGTATCCGTGACCTTTTCTTAAATAAAAAATCAAAAGGAACCATTGTTTTCGGTTGAAGGAATTCATTAGAAAAGTCTTGAACGACCAACAAGCAAACTGGGTTGCCAGAGTCGGAATGTAAGGAAGGCTAAATCCATGTACTTGTGGGTTAAGTTGTTTTATTTATTTATTTTTTGCATCTTCACATAATGCAAGAAATTAAGTTGGAGGATATATTACAAATAGACTAGTCGACAGCTTAAGGTCATACTTAAAATCGCAAAAGAAGTGAGGTTTTTACCAAATAGAATTGTTTATGGGTGGAATTATTTTTATGCATTTATATATTTGCATCATGTATTTTACATAGGTGAATTGACAAGTATATAAAGAAAAGAAAAGAAGAGACAATCTAATTATTTTAATAAGAAGTTAGAGAATTTTAATAAAATCAAGAAAATTTATTAAGAAAAATCAACAAGTTACAAAATAGACTTACAACAACTAAGAATAATATTAAAATTATAATCATAAAAACATTAATGCTTAAAATGGAAAAATAGAAATAGATTGAATAAATGATTTTAAATTAAATTTAAGTATTATTTATATTATTGTGCCAATAATAAATTTGGACTAATAAGTTTTTTGTAGATGGTAAGACATTCATTAATATATACTATGTAGGTAGTAATAAATATAGACTTTTGTAAAATTTAGTGGATTGCCAAGTGCCTAGCAAAAACCATATAGAATTGTATGTACATGAGGCCAAATCATGAACATAAAATAGAAGTGAGAGAAGATAGAGAAGTATTTGGATAAAAAAGTTAAAAAGTTTAAAATAAAATTATAGATGAAGGAGTGAAATAAAATTAATTTTAGATATTTTTAAAATTAAAAGTAAACATAATAACAATAAGTCTCCAAATAATAATAATTGGCCTAAACAAGAGATATTAAGATAAAAAGTAGATAAATATAGATATAATATAAATAATATTGTGGATAATAGAAATAGTATAATTATTTTAGAAAGAAATGATATGTAGAAATTATGTTGGATTGAGTAGATACTATATATATATATATATATATATATATATATATATATAATTTTAAAAATAAAAATATTAAGTTCTTAAAATATATTTATAAACTTTATCATAATTTAGTACCAAAATCTTAAAATATTAATAAAAAATTAAACAACATATAACAAGTTTAAAAAAAATTAAAGATAAAAAATATTTTTAATATGATTTTATCAAATAAAATTTGTAAAAAATTCTTTTAATATTTTAATACTTTTTAAGTATTATTTTTACTTAAAATTATATTTTAAAGATGTTTAAATAATCAAAAATCATAAAAATTATATAGAAGAAATATATATTATCTTACATCTAAATTCAAATAAGAATTTAGACAAAAAAATTAAGTATTGCTAATAGTAAAAATTGTAAGAATTAAAAATTAGTAAAATATTTATAATAATTAAGAGACTTATAATTATATTCAATATAACAATATTATGTATTAAAAATATATTATTAAAAAATGGTGCTATTTTTTATTTAAAAATGTAATATAGAAGATAATAGAGATGGACATATTTTCATACAAAGAATTGAGAATTTTCTAATTAAATTTCTTTTATATATACAAAATACAATGTGTATTTGTGGTTATATTTTAAACTATCAATGGCAAGTCATTATAAGTTAGCAAAAAAATTTATATAAGAATAAGAATTAAAAGGCTATTTTTGGTGATAATAAATACATTCTAAATATTTGAAAGAAAAACCACAAAAATATTATTATATTGAGATTTGATGCTAATGTCATTTGTTGTGATAATTTTTTTCCAAAAGAACACTTGATATAATATCATTATTATAAAATAATATTTAGACATAGAATATTTAAAAATAAAGCTTAAATTTAAAAAAAATTATGAATAGAAAAATAAACTTGAAGGTATTTAAAAAATAGAAAAACAAATAGGAGAACGATTATTTTTGCTTACTTTATATGTTGAAAATATGTAAAATAGCCTAACAAAAAGATTTGTTAGTGAATAATGCAACACATCACTTTTTTGACTTTAATAGTTAATTGCTTCAAATATCACATTTGCAAAGAATTTTTTTTTAAAGAGTTACCAACTTCAAACTTGAAATAGTTACTATTGTATAAAACCTTTCAAAAATAATCTCCGATTTTATTTTTTGCAAATGAATTACTATGAAGAAAAAAGTTTTTTGTAATGGTAATAACTTTGCCATAATAAGAACAACCTTTATCATCAATAGTGAGAACAATTATAAGTACAATAGTTGTGATCCTTCTTGTAAAACTTTTTGCAAGTAATTTAGTATTCAAAATCAACCTCCTTTTGACTACAAATATGGATCTCGCTCAAATAATCTGCTTGTTTGATTTTGTGGAGTAGGACAATGGTACCATCCACATTAATTGTATTTATGTCTACATACACTATAACATTAGTATAGACCTAACAAAGTGAGCTTCTTAAATACAAAGAATGAAGAAAAAAATTGATACTTTTGTGCAAATCTATTGCTTGTGTACATGCATAGATGTACAAGAATTGGTATTGTTGAAAGTATCTATAAAAACAAGTTTACTCCATATGGTCAACAATACATAAGGTTTGAATGGTGAAGCTTTGGATTTCAAAGATGTATGTTTTCATTTAGATCACCTAGCATATTTGATCTTCTATAGTCCTCTTGTATAGCTCATTAGTTATAGAGTGTGGTGGATCACATGTTACTTAGATGTATTCATTGTGCTATTTAAAGAAAAAAGCACTAGTCTTACAAAGAAGTTGGATGAGTGCATCAAACCACTCTTTGTAGCATACATAAAAAAAACAGATATTTTATTTATTTATTTATTAATTTAATATAAATATTTTAAAATATGAGATTTTTATGTGTTTGAAAATTCAAATATTAGACATAATTCTTCTTAGATATGTATGCGCTTTAAGGTGTATTTTATTGATTTTTGCCATGGTAGCCTTGTGTGCATCTACTATCAATGCTTTTGTAGCCACTTAAATCTTGTCATTGAATTTTGTCTTAAACTTCATATTTACGTTCTTCTTTTTGTACTAGATGTAAGATACATGTACTATATTTGAGAGCTTTGAGACTATTTTATGCTCTATCTTCTAAGAATATTAAGAAATAATATGTTAGTCTACTCTTTCATTTTTTTGATGTTCAGATGTTCTATCATTATTACATTTCAATTGAAAACTTATCTTTTTGTAATTTTTGATTGCTGTCTTTGTTTGCAAATTCAAAAATAATATTGCATGTGGAACTTGTTTACAAAATTAGATCTAGTTTTTGGTATTTTTGACTAATATAATATCAAAAGCAATAAAAACAAGCTAGCTTTTTCCATTGATGCTACTAAGACCTAAGTAACACCTTTGTAAGTAGCTTTTGAATGAGCCACATCAATTGTAATCATCAAACAACAATGTATAAAAATAATCTTTTATGTAGCAAGGTACAAAAGTGCTTGAAAAAAACACTCATGGTTGTTCATGTCAATTGTTGTAGAGTTCTTAGAATTGGTAACTTGTGGTTGAACAAGTAGCTCGGCTATTTTCTAAAATCCAAGCTTGTAGCCAATAACAAAGCATTTTTGGTGGATTTCTTGGCTTCTCCAAATTCCTACATACGTTTTTTTTGCTTTCACTTGCATCTTTATATGGTTAGAAATGTCATGTGGTCACAAAACTTGGACATCATGCATCATAGGTATAACAAACTCTACAAGAACATTATATTGGAGGCAGAATGGTTGTAGAAATGTAGAGTAATTTTCATTGTACCAAGTAAATGTGATTACATAGAATAAGCCATCTTTGCATTGATTCATGAAAATGTGGAAGTTGCATCCAAAGCCATTGTCTTGCATAGATGAATAAGTGACAATAATATTATTTTATCACTTGTTGGAGACCTGAAAGTGAATGTGAAAGAAATTGAAAAGTGGAAATGTTGGGAGGTAGAGAGGTAACATGACAGTGGTTGGAGAGTGGGACTATTTAAAACTAGAGAGCATATGTGGTGGAGGTTGGAGAGTAGATGTGATAGAGGTTAGAAATCATTAGAAACTAAGACCAACAATAAGTAAGACTAGTAGAGAGCAAAATCTTTGGAGAACAATGGAAAAGAGTGTAATGAGCAAGATTGGTGGAAAGCGATGGAAAGAGTGATGGAAAGAACAAAAAAGAAGAGTGGTAGAGAAAAAAATTAGCGGAGAATAGAAAGGTACTATAGCTACAATTTTTGTTCTATTTTAGAAAAAAAATATTCTCCTAATTGTGAATAGTTTCAAATTTGTTGTTGTCTTGGAAAAAATTTCTTTTATCTAATATGAAAAATTAATTTTAAATTAAAGAAAAAAAAATTCGACCATCTAAATGAATAAATAAATAGAATTTTTATTCTTTATATCTTTAATTAAAATAAAAAAATAATTAAAATAAATTTGAAAAAAAATCTCTACAATCTCTTCCTAAAAACCAACCTATGACCAAACCTACTTAAATAATGCAAGGATGTGACAGTAAAATAGGGTTTACTAAGTGCATCTCTAAGTCACTAATTACACAATAACAGGAACGTCAAGGAGTTGGCGATGAGGGTTCCTTGCTTGTGATCAGGCCAAGTTGACTCTACTCATCCACTACCATGCACAGCAGCTCCCATTGTCACAATCACCCCAGCTCTGTCCCATTGACATGGTTAAGTCCTAACCAGCGTTGTTTTACTTTGGGGTACATCACTCGTAGTTTGGTGGTGGTGTGTAATTGTGCAGTCCTTGACGGAGAGAGTGTTTTGTTTTCTTTTTTCAATAGAAAGGAGGAAATTTGAAAGAAAATTGAAAGAGACCATGATGAAGAATAAAAAGCATTAGAAGCAGTAAAGCTTGCAACATTGCAGATCAAATGATGAGCATGTGCAAGGTAAGCATGTGGTGATGCCTACGCGTGTAATGAGGAGCAGCTTCGCAAGTATCAGCACCATGTGACAGTGTGGCACCGGCTTGAGCCTGCTAATCACATGCCTGCGGTTCCCAAAGTTGCTCCATGATACGAATGCCTTGGTTTGTTGTCCAAAAACTGCAATCAAGGTGTGCGTTCAAGGTCACAGGGAAACTCTCATCACAATTATTATTTTTAGTAGTTTTTTTTGAAGGAATGGGAATGATCGAGAGATTTCAAGTCTCTGAAGCACTGCGTTGAGCGGTCATGGAGCCTTTGGTAGCTTAGCATTGTCGTGTGATGTCGCGCTGTTAACAGCCTACTGTCGCTGCGCACTTTTTAGGTGATATGTTTTGAAGGGTTATTTGGATTAGGTCATTTCAATGATTCCCGTATGCCATGATCTTTCCTTCTTGCGCGAATAGAATTCATGCACTTATGAACAAGCACTCCGAAACGTGCGATTGCACAACTGGGTCTTTTTTCAAACTTAACGAAGCATGGTCTTTCTTCTGCTTTTGGTTCTTGCATTCAATCATCGCAGATTGTGGGAACAATCGTTGCTCTTTCTTTTTTGTTCCTTTACTCAGGCCTCACGTGAGACTTCATCTGCCATAGTTTACTACTTACCCAACCTTGCGCTGTTCCTATTTCGAGAATAGATTTCCGCAACATCAATTGTCTATTGACTACTGGTATCATGTCAGTGTTTGGACCTAATCTATCATGAAGTATGTATATGTGCTTTGTTCTCCATCTGCGGCATTGAAGTCCATGAGTATTTTGAAACCAATAATGGAGTATCCTGTCGCCAGTTTGGAATGGTCGTGGACTCATATGCAACAACCAGGTGGATATCGTGCCATTGCAAATGCAGTTAGATGCGCTCATGTGTACGTGGTACGTCCAGAAGAGTGGAAGTGAAACCTGCCCTTTATGACTCTTCAATAAAGTTTACTAGCCCGTTACAGTGGTAGGTCAGCAATCCTGCAACCCTGGTGCCACTTCCTACTGAAACGATGACATCATTTTCCTCCAAGCATGCCCTCATTCCTCGCAACTCGGTTCTGTACATACAGTACAAATGCCCTTGATACCTACTGTAGATCATGAAGTCCAATTCGCATTCTTACGAGTACATGGAATGAGCAGCATATGAACGCCTGCTTACGCAGATCATACACAATTGTCCCCTGGACCATGTTCGTCACCTCCTAATGAACAAGTTATTTATCATACAGGTGGTTTCGATCCCCTGACATGAGATAATCATGACAGCTTTGAGTAGAGACCACGATAGACAAGGACTTAAGAGACATCTCTCTGCCCTAGAAAGCTGGAGAGAGAGAGGGACAGAAAGTGTAGTGGCTTCCATTTCAACTCTTGCATCTGGAGTCTCCGAAGTCTGCTGAGCCTTGGCACCTAGAAAATCTTCGACCTGCAGGATTGACCCATTGGTTCAGAACGACTCTCGAGACGGCTCATCCATGCATCTAATGTTTCCAGGAGCTCCTCGTGACATGATGAAACAATCTGTTCTGCGTCATCTGGATTTCATTTTAAAATATCATGGTGCTAGTCTACTTTAACCTACGGGAGCGGCATTACTGTAGTGCGTTACATGTGAGGGGAGCATGAGAGTGTGAATGTTGCATACGAGTAGATTTGGGTGCTAGACACTTCGCCCGAAAACGTGGACAGTGGTGAAAGTGTCATGCAAACCAAATACTGGCTGCTAGAGTGACGTTTGAAATAGTGTTCAACACTTCAAGATCGTGTAGTTGAAGGTTTTGCACTATCGAGACACTAAGTTGAGGTGGCTACATGAGGTGACGTAATTGTGGAGTTGTGTTGGAGAAACAGGAGATTCCATACTAGTTGAGCGGACAAGTAAGAACGAGCACGACGGTGCGTTTGAGATGATGCAGGGTGCACATTGTTTCTCTCAAGAGGATTAATTGCGTTGCCGGGGTAGGTTCAACAAAACTGAGCAAAATTATTCTATGTGGAGGGGGAAAGGAGTCTGAATTTGGTGGGAGAGGCAGGGGTATCGTTGTTGGAGAAATAGGGCATATTCGCTACGAACATGGAATCGACACCGCAGAGTTACAAGGAGCCAGGTTCAGTGAGGCATCATCCCATGCGCAACTGCCTCCACCTCATCCTCCGCGTTTTCACGGCGGGTGCCACTGCAGCTGCTGTTGCTGTAATTCTGCGGTCTACACAAACAGTCCCAACTCCATTGGGCCCCCACACAGCCCGATGGAGAGACTTTCCCGCATTTCAGTATGTATGCCACTTTCACTGCATTTTCACCTCGTCATTTTACGACGACATCCATTCTCTAGCTTAGCATTCTTTTAACGAGTATGTTACATCTCGTGAGCTGGTTTGGCAAAATGTCACAAATTTTCATGCCCACAGTCGGGCTGGTGTCCTCCACGGGCATTTGCTAGGAAGAGTGCAACCTGGCTTGCAACAAATTCTACAAGTTGTAGATTTCTTTGCTGCCGTGAGGTCCTCTCGGTGACTCACTGCGTTAAGCGCGCAACAAGCCCTCAGGCAGCGCGTTGTTGGAAGATAATTCTGCTTGATGCTTTGAGCTAACAGTCAGACCTGGTACACAGGTGGTTTGTATTCGCCAACGCCATCGTCTTCATTTATGCGGTCCTTGGAACAATTGTGGCATGCGTAACTCAGTGGACTCGTCGAGGTCCTCTCAGCTACACTAAATCTGCATGGCTCACTTTCTTCTCCGACTTTGTAAGCCTTCATCACGAGCTCACTCTTTTCGGCAAGTTGTAGGACTGTTGTTCCTAATGCAAGATGATTTCGCTATATTTAACCTTACTGAGAGTAATGCATGGTTATCCTTGCAGCTTTTGTCATGTGCCCTGATGTCGGCATGTTCGACGGCACTGGGAGTGGCGTGGATTGGAAAGCATGGCCAAGAAACTGCCTACTGGAACGCGGTGTGCCCAATGGTAGGCCGCTTCTGTGACCAAGTACAGGGTGCTCTCATTGCCTGCGTATGCGCATTCGTGTGCCTGTCTCTGTGCACTGTCATGTCTGCGTCGGCACTTCACCAACTCGCACCTCACAAGCCTTGATGATAAAGTCTTGAATGAAGCCCGTTCCCATGATCTCTACCCGAGGGGAATGATTCCAAATTGCAGAAAGATCGTGAATGGAATCGTCTTCCTGTGCTTTGAAGTCATCGAAGTTGCATGTGGGGCCGAAGGTGATTGGTGTCATCGTGAGGCCAGAATTGTTCGATCTTGTTGTAAGACTGGAGGTGGTTGGTCTTGTCGTGATGCCCAGATGTATCTTTCTCAATAGCTAGGGCTGTATTCGCTATGTATAACCGTGTTGCGGATGTCTGTGGGTCCTACAACTCGAACGGTGAAAGAATCGGGCTCGGGGGCTCGGTTAGCCACCGAATTTGCAAGTGTATTTGGATTTCCTCTATCGGTATCGAAGAAGGGACTAAAAAATCTCGAAATTGTAACTGTCTGTGTGGGCTCACACTGTCTTCCTGGTTCGAATGTTAGCTCAATGAGAAGATATCGCAAATGCGTCACCTCTGGACAAACTGATTTGAGTCGAAGTATGTGTGAAGCAGTCATTTCTTTCAAACTTGTGCGCGGGTAAACATTGTTGCAAGAATTCTGCTACTCTTGGATATAGATTTTTGTAATTTAGTGACCAAGGCAATTGGGCAATACCTTGTGTTTTTTGAAAGTCGTCTGAACATAGCACGTCAGCTAAACAGAATAAACTTGTTAATGTTACAAAGAATTAATCGGTACATATGCTAACAAAAGGGAGTAGGTCTGAACATTACGCTTCAGTCCCAGAAAGCTTCAATAGATCCGAACTAAGAACCTACTTCTTTCCCCCAAAAAGACCGAAGACATTTTTAATTGCGTTCATTGCGTTCTCATTGATGAAGGGTTCATCGTATTTGTTGATGAGTGGCGTAAAACCTGGTGATTGTCGCAGCAAAGCCAAGTCGGGATCCTCTCGCACTGTCTTGTAGTCGTCAAACCCGGCTTCCATGGCCTCCTCGAGAGCTTGAAGACCGGACTCAATCTGGTTCAATTTGGAGTAACAGCACGCAACGTTATAGCTTGCTACAGCTTCTTCTCTGGCCTCGGGCTTCAAACCTAGAACAGACTCGAAGTGTCCCAAAGCCTCTTCGTACTTCCCTTGCTTGTAGAGTTTCAGTCCGGCGTCGAGCTCCTGTTCACGTTGCTTCTTCTGCTCCTGCTTGCGAAGATAGTTCTGAACTTGAATCTCTCGGATGCCATCACCAATTGAGCCGGCGTTCCGTTCTGCTGAAAGCTGCTCTGCAGTCGCACCCCTATCTTCCCGAACCCCGTAACGCTTCTCCATCCGCATGAGAAGAGTCCCAACTCGTTGCCGGATGGTGTACATTGTGCGGCCATACTCGGCAGCGGGCCACATTTCATTTCCGAACATGGCACTAGTTTCAATCACTTTGTCACCTGGGGTGAACATTCCCGACTTATCAGCACTTCCACCAGGGGCCACAGCGTCAATGTAAGTACCACCATCAGCACCTTTGTAGAATCGCAATCCCCAGGGCTTCTCCAGCTCTACCTCGTACGTTTCCTTCACAGCAGGTTGCCCGGAAGGAGGAGAGGTCTCCGCCATGGCGCGCACTACCATGGCCACATTACGACCACCTCGTTGATGGGTTTCGCATGCTGTGCTACCCCCTTTTAGAGACTGCATACCAGCTCCTGCATAAGACGAATGCCTCAACTGAACGCCAACAGCTGCCACCGTTGGAGACGACACTGGAGAATCAACGACCCTCGCAACCACATTAACTTGCGCAGCAGTGCAAGACCCTGTCACCATCGCAGACGCCATATCTAATCCTGCTTGCACACAAACTTGTAACATTTTGTCACAGCTCAGTCTCTGCAACTAGAAATTTCGACGTTAAGCCATAGATGCAAGGTACCGCTAGAGAAACCGAAAACAATCAATCCACCAAGAATCCTTTCCTTAATTACGCTCAAGGTTAACCTTAACAAAACCCCAAGCCAATTGTGCACCACACAATTGAATAGAGATGAAGGATGATCTTCTGCGACGCGTTTCTCGAGCGTACCATTCAAGGACAAAGCTTAAGCAATTATGGCTTAAATTCTTCTATGGCAACCACTCTCTATCAGATAAACTTGTATGAATCACACCTCACGAGGTGTGGTCCATGCATAATCTCCCCCTAACGACAATCTAGAACACTTCCTTCCAATTCTAAACAAACTAACCCTCAAACTTGCAACAAATGAAGTTTAACAAATGTGCACATACCAGAAAGAGTTCGGTGACGGTTGCGGCTTCGACCTGCAAAAACTTCTCAAGCTCAAAGACCTTGAGCCGATACAGTGTCCATAAGATACTATCAGCGTAATAGGTTACGGACTGCAAGTGCTAGAGTAATGCCTGGAACTCCTTTGCTCGTCAGCCTCACACTCCAGTTGAGTTGGATCTCGAGAACATTCTTTGTTCTCCTCTGCTACGAAGCACGAGACGAACTGGTGGATAAGGTCCAAAGCTAGTGTGATACTCACAACTAATCATCGGCGTGTATACCGGGGCTTTAATTCATGGCCGAAATACGAAACTCATGCGCACCACCAAATTCTGCGTCACTTGATTTCGTGGTCACAGTCCTTTGGAAAAGTCATCTCGAGCCTGCTTTTCACAGGCTGTAGAAGGGCGACATGCGGATGTGGAGAGCACTGTAAGAGAAAACAGTCTGTTTTAGGTTTTAGCTTCCTGCTAATGGCAGCAATTAGCTTGCCATAATAAAAACACTATTATACCCAAGCTAAGCTTGACGTTAGAAGGGATTTGTGGGGCACTCAGGAGATCGATGTGTTCAATCGCTCGCCACGTAAGGTTCAGCGACACTATTTTTAGCATCAAACTCGCCTCACCCCACAACGAATGGCGGTAGATTTTTTAATTCGGGGGTCAATTATCTGAGCCAGTGTTGCGATATTCTCTCAAAAAATTTACTTGTGATACACTGTTTGGTCATCGGCAGTCAAGTGAGACCCATATTTTGTATTATTCGAAAATGCTCTCGAATGCGTCATGTTGGAACTAATTGACATCTGAGTTCGGTGGAATTTGAATAAATTAACTCCATAGCAATGTCAAACCCAACTTTTTTAAGGTTTCAAGCCGTAGAATTTCAAAATACTCTCGCAACGCTCCACTTCGCATGCTCACTCTCCACGGTGGCAGCGACAACACAGGAAACTATGAATGCACACAATCTTTCAACCCAGGATTTGATAACTGCTTTGAGGGTGCTATGGGAGAGGTTTCTATTGTTGTGGACATCAAAGTTTGAATGGTTTGTTCCTCTCAATTTATTAACATGGATGTTGTACAATTTGTGGAAAATGTTGCCCTATACATGCACAACATTGGTTTACATGATCTGAGTAATAATTTTTAGACTATTAGGTTTATAATAATTTGTTGGTGTTGTGAGTTAATGTAGACTATTAAGTTAGGAAATAATTTGTTTGTTGTCATGTATTAATATTTAATGATACAAATATAAGGAACTAAGCTAACAAGAAGTACATAAGAAATGAAATACTAAATTAGAAACTAAATTAGATACAAGCTTAGGGATAAGACAATATGTGAATTGTTTCAATTTATGTTGGCAAGAATAAAGTGCTCCTTGTCTTGCCTCCTAATTTATACTATATCAACTAAGCCTTACATAAATATTTTTAGAAAAGGTTACAAAACTATAAATTTAGAGATTTTTTTTATAGAAGCTTTTAAAAAATATTGAAGGTTCTTTAAAATGCGTGGACAATAATAAAAGACTTTAGATTCTTATAGAGTATTTTGGAAGGTTTTAGAAGCTTCTAAAGACTTACAATTTAGTGGTCTAAGCTTTTAGAGAATTCTAAAATATTTTAGAATATTTTAAAATGTTTTGGGAAATTCATAATATACATTTGTAATGCCAATATTGGTTATAATAGTATGATAAATATTTAATTTTTTAATCCTTTTTTATATAGTTCTTTAAAAGTCTTTTTCAATAAATGTATGGTAGTAGAATTTGTAATTGTTAATAACTTTGGCATCCAATCATACTAATTATCTATTTTTTCCTATTATAAGATTGATCCATGTTTGAATAATGTGTGTTTGTAGCATTTTATATTTAAATTATAAAAACTTTATTATTAAACTTTATTATACTATTAACAATAAAAATACACATTTATATATAATAAAAATTCTCAAACTTATATTAAAAAATGGTAAATAGATTTTGAAGAACTTAAATCTCTTTATTAAGTTGAAAATATAATATTACAATTGGCAACATATAATCTAATTTAAAATATTATATTTATATAATTATTTATTATTTTAAAAAGATAGAATTTGGAATTTGATTTATATTATTATAAGTAAATTTATTTATATATTTTCTATCTTCTAAATAAAATTGAAGTATTTAATTTATATAAGATTTATCTTTAATTTTTATACACATTATGAATATTAACTATTAACCTTTAAATCTATGTTTTTTTTGTACATTAAGGTTTGTTTGTCTTTGATGCATTATGCTATATATTTGCAAAAGAAAACATGTTATAACTTTGTACAAAATTATGCTGTCAATTAATATAAACAATTAGATCTACACATAAAATTGGTTTTTTTGCTAAGATCATTTTATTTAAGTAATAATATGTGATTGTGAGAGTAAAATTCATCTTTTAATCTAAATTACAAGATGGCATCACTTTAGAGTTTTTTGTAATTGATGGTATAAAGTAAGTTGTACAATCAACAAAAAATAAAAAAAGAAGAAAGACAAAAAAGTGAAAGAAATACAATCAAATAAATATACCTTCGAAAAACTTGTTATAGATTGTTTACTAGATTTTTACTTGAAAAAACATAAAAATTTTACTTTCATGTAAATAATTCTTTTATCTTTCTAATGATATAAAGAATATATATGTTGGAGTTAATATGAATAAGTTATATAATTTTAAAGATTAGAATTGAAAAATAGAAAAGTTAAGTAAATTAATTTTGTCTCAAGAAAAAATTGCTTAAGAAGTCAAGGCTTTGAGTCTCATTAAGGCTCACAAAGTATAGTTTAAGATAACTTGGAGGCATGTCTAATGTGAAAACCCATGTTATTCTATAATATCTTTTAGGCAGAAGAATGAATACTCTTCATCATAAAAATGATTAAAAACCTCTATTTATAGATAGGGTTGGTATTCTACCTCTACCAATGGAGCTTGGCAATCCTTTGTTGTAACTTGTTGTAATTAGGTACCTCTATCTTATAAGAAAACATATACATATCCACAAGTGATATGTTGGATTTCAAAATATTTGGATTCATATGGCACACAGAGCCTTGAGATTAAAAATAAATGTTGCAACTACATTTTTTGTAATAAGAGACAAGAGTTGGTTCTTTATTTTTTAATGGCACTTGTTTAAAAAACCATTGAGGCTCAAAAAATATTTAGAAGAATTTCATAATAGATTTAGCAAGATAATATTAAGAATAGTAAATTTTCTAAGTACTAATCTTTGAAGGTGGTTGTAGTGACCTAAGCAAGGTCCATACTTCCAAATTCGTATAGATTATTTTTGTTATATCATCTTTATTCATAGATATATATATATTTTTATATAAATTTTGAATTAAAACTTAAGCAATGTACACTCTATTTTCAAATTCCTAGTCCTTGAAGAACAATGGAATCTCTTTAGATTTGTATTTATTCTTTATTTTATTTTCAAATGTTTATCTAACTTCTCTAGTTCAATGATGTTTGATAATCTATCAAGGATATGTATTGTAAATAATAAATCCTCAATACACTCTCATGTTACTTGAAAAGAATAGATATTCATTCAAAAGTAATATAATATTATAACTAGAATGACTATTGCCAAAGATAAGAAAACTAAAGACTTTTGAAATAAGACTAAAGATAAAAAAGGTATTGATAAGAGTAAAGAGAGCTTCACTATTGCATCTATATATACTATCTAATTAAGAACTATGTGGCAAATTTTTATAGGACCTCCACAATGTGTCTAACTTATAAGATAAGTTTTCTACACATGCACCATATGATCAACTTGTACCAAAGTCACCAACATGTAGAATACTTGGCCAACTTATTGGCTTAGTTTCTAACCTATTGTCACGGCCATAATCATGTAAGCTAATAATTATATATAGAAATAGGTAGAAGTAAGTAAAAGTAGATAAAAGTAAGTTAATTGTATAATATTTAATATAGAAGCTTCCTAGAAACTTCCTAGACGCTGCTTTGACTTCATAGGTGTCTTTAATTGACTTTTTGGATTAGAAACGTGGTCAACAAGTTGGCCATGTGCCACACATGTTGTTAGCTTGAAGATCAAGCTAACTATGTGGCCCACACGTAGAAAAACTTGCCTTGTAAGTCAAGGCATGTGTCCTACAAAGTCAACACATATTGGAGGTCCTATAGAACGTCGCCACGTAGCCCCTAGTTAGATAGTATATATAGAGACAAGAGTGAAGGCTTCTTCACTCTTGTCAACTCCTTTCTTGCTTCTAGTCCAGGTTCAAGAGTCTTTAGTTTCTTGTCTTGTGGCAATAGCCATTCCAGTTTCCTTTTAATATACCTACTTGTTTATATTTTGACTTATTATATCGAGATAGCCTTTTTGTGTATATTTTCTCTCATCGAGTCTTTGTCCTTGACAGATTGACAAGAGTACACTTACAATATCAGAGCTTTGTTTTTTCTTGAGTAAGAGTGGATTACCCCTTTCTCTTGACAAGACATAAGCGTATTAGAAGTTTGCGGATTACCCACTTCTAAACTGATATTGTTCTTAGTATCTTCTTTGTTATCAAGTCTTTCTTTTCTTTTGTCTTGAGCAATATCAAACAAATTTTTCTTCTTAGTGTCATTATGGCAGAGCTTGTTGAAATGAAGAGTGCAATGGCACAAATGCAAGAGCAAATGAGGGAGTTAATGCTTGCGATGCATCAACTCAATTCACCAACACAGGAAAGAACAAGAATAGCAGAAAGTGGAGATATAGAGATGATCGGAGCTGCTTCAACATCTACAACAAATCACGTTCCTTCTCCAATTGTACAACACCCTATAAGCACTAGAGAACCAAGAATTGCCTTACCTGAGAAATTTGATGGTACGAGATCAAAGTTTCGAGGGTTCATCAATCAAGTACAATTGGCAATTGAACTTCAACCGCAAAGCTATCCAACTCCAGGATCACAAGTCAGGTTTATTGGCACTCTACTTTCTGGTTCTGCATTATCGTGGTTTTCGTCTTTTCTTGAACAACGAAATCCAATATTGGACAATTTGGAAGCTTTTTTGGCGGAGTTTCGATCTATGTATGGTGAACACGATGCAAATCGTGTTGCAACAAATAAGATCCGAATTCTGCGACAAGGAAATCGCTCAGTAACAGTATATGCTTCACAATTTCGACAACTTGCAATTGACATCAAGTGGGATGATGCTGCACTCATCAGTCAATTTCTTTATGGATTGCAATACGAAGTAAAGAAATTGATGCTCAACTTACCTGATCCTCAAACTTTGAGTCAAGCAATCGATTTTGCGGTAAA